CTATCCAGGGAGGGGCGAGGCCTGGAGACATGACTCCGTTACCTGTGTACCTTCTCCCCTGACCCTACCTTAATACTTACACCCCCACCCCGCCCCCCCCCCCAACACCCCGCCCACCCCACCACTACACCCCGCACATACTCCCCTCCCCGCCACCCAGGGTGCCTAAAACCGTGCGCGACATCGGCGGAGATGGATGATTGACGGATGACTGACGGATGAGCGTGATTTATCGCCGGCTAATCGTGAAGGCGCTCGCGTACGCGACCCGGGTGCGGGTGTCCGGTTACCCCCCCCCCCCCAACCGCCTCCCTTCTCGCTGCGATATTAAGTGAGGGTCAACTATATTTTATAGGCTCTAGCTCTTGGACCGTGGTCTTTCTTGCTAGCTTTAAACAGTGGTTTTGTAGGTAGTAAACTCCTGTTCACTCCAGTATACGTTTTGATAGTTATATGAGTAGGATTGGAGGAGGATTCACTCGTCTCACTCGCTTATACTCACTCGTCCACAAGTTTTACGTCAGGGATCAATGACACAGAGGCCCAGTCTCTTAAGTGGATGAGTTCCACTATTGAGTACTGGGCTGATGAGTATTGGGCAGCACATACCACCACTCACCACCACCACCATCCGCCGCCGCCACCCACCACTACCCGCCACCACCCATCACCACTCGCCACCACCCATCACCACCCGCCCGCCGCCGCCACCCATCACCACTCGCCACCACCCACCACCACTCGCCACCACCCATCACCACCCGCCCGCCGCCACCAACCACCACCACTCGCCACCACCCACCACCACTCGCCACCACCCATCACCACTCGCCACCACCCACCACCACTCGCCACCACCCACCACCACCCGCCCGCCGTCACCAACCACCACCACTCGCCACCACCCACCACCACTCGCCACCACCCATCACCACTCGCCACCACCCATCACCACCCGCCCGCCGCCGCCACCCACCACCACTCGCCACCACCCACCACCACTCGCCACCACCCATCACCACCCGCCCGCCGCCACCAACCACCACCACTCGCCACCACCCACCACCACTCGCCACCACCCACCACCACCCGCCGGCCGCCACCCACCACCACTCGCCACCACCCACCACCACTCGCCGCCACCCACCACCACTCGCCACCACCACTCGCCACCACCCATCACCACCCGCCCGCCGCCACCAACCACCACTCGCCGCCACCACCACCCGCCCGCCGCCACCCACCACCACTCGCCACCACCCACCACCACCCGCCCGCCGCCACCCACCACCACTCGCCACCACCCACCACCACTCGCCACCGCCCATCACCACCCGCCGCCACCCACCAGCACCACCACCCACCACACCACCAACCACCCCCCTCCCGCCACCGCCGGCTGCCACACTGTGGAGGAGTGGTGGTAACCTTCGACCCTCGCCCTCTAGGCCTAACTATACATTCCATTCAAATTCCCGTCATTCTCCTGACCAATCATCATGTTCCTGAGTGTGTCGTGTCACGCTATCATAGTGCTGCCCTTCCTTCCCATACGTCACCTTCTGTGGTGTAGCGTGGCCCGCCCGGCGTCAGCAAGGTGGACGGCCCGCCCGGCGTCAGCAAGGTGGACGGCCCGCCCGGTGTCAGCAAGGCGGACGGCCCGCCCGGTGTCAGCAAGGTGGACGGCCCGCCCGGTGTCAGCAAGGTGGACGGCCCGCCCGGTGTCAGCAAGGTGGACGGCCCGCCCGGTGTCAGCAAGGTGGACGGCCCGCCCGGTGTCAGCAAGGTGGACGGCCCGCCCGGTGTCAGCAAGGTGGACGGCCCGCCCGGTGTCAGCAAGGTGGACGGCCCGCCCGGTGTCAGCAAGGCGGACGGCCCGCCCGGTGTCAGCAAGGTGGACGCCATCAACCCTTGATGGCGTCATGTGTTATACAATTCCCAACACTGATCACTACAAGAGAAATACGAAAATAAAGATAAGCCTATGGACACCTGCCCGAGCCGACAGCACCGAATCACCTTCTGTGGTTGAGTGTTCAATAAACCCCTGAACTATATGTTTAACACATCTCTAGCCCTGGCCATGGAGGACAGAAGATAATGTATATATGCTGGTTAGCATTGTAAATGTGTGGCCACGTCTGTGGTAGAAAATAATAATAATAAAAAAAAAAAGTTCCTACTCCCCGGGCCGACAGTACCTACTCCCCGGGCCGACAGTACCTACTCCCTGGGCCGACAGTACCTTGTTACGAACCCGATTCCATCGTCGAAGCATGGAGCAGCGACGTCAACGCCATCTGTGAGTCCGCTCCCGAACCAGCGAGTTGCAAGAAGCTCCTGCCAGGGGTTCACTACCTTTTGTATTTGTTCGTGAAGAGGCCCAGCAGCGCCAGGCTGATGTTCTCTGCCAGCTCCAGACTGGAGAGTGACTGTGGGCGTGCACGGAGAGCACCTGGTGACACTGTGTTTTGGCTGGCCTGGCAGGGTAGACTCGTTGGTGTGTCCCAGTACTGGTTGAGGACGGTACTGTGTGTGTTGAGGAAACATGGAAGCTGACAAGACTGCATCGACTGAGCATCGAGGAGCGTTTAATGTCTTATGAGACACTTGTGTACATAATAAGTGTACACTCCCAGTGTACACCTACTCCCCGGAGCGACAGTACCTACTCCCCGGGGCGACAGTACCTACTCCCCGGGGCGACAGTACCTACTCCCCGGGGCGACAGTACCTTCTCCCCGGGCCGACAGTACCTACTCCCCGGGCCGACAGTACCTACTCCCCGGGCCGACAGTACCTACTCCCCGGGGCGACAGTACCTTCTCCCCAGGGCGACAGTACCTTCTCCCCGGGGCGACAGTACCTTCTCCCCGGGCCGACAGTACCTACTCCCCGGGGCGACAGTACCTACTCCCCGGGCCGACAGTACCTACTCCCCGGGCCGACAGTACCTACTCCCCGGGCCGACAGTACCTACTCCCCGGGCCGACAGTACCTTCTCCCCGGGCCGACAGTACCTTCTCCCCGGGCCGACAGTACCTACTCCCCGGGGCGACAGTACCTTCTCCCCGGGCCGACAGTACCTTCTCCCCGGGGCCGACAGTACCTTCTCCCCGGGGCCGACAGTACCTTCTCCCCGGGGCCGACAGTACCTTCTCCCCGGGGCCGACAGTACCTTCTCCCCGGGGCCGACAGTACCTTCTCCCCGGGGCCGACAGTACCTTCTCCCCGGGGCCGACAGTACCTTCTCCCCGGGGCCGACAGTACCTTCTCCCCGGGGCCGACAGTACCTTCTCCCCGGGGCCGACAGTACCTTCTCCCCGGGGCCGACAGTACCTTCTCCCCGGGGCCGACAGTACCTTCTCCCCGGGGCCGACAGTACCTTCTCCCCGGGGCCGACAGTACCTTCTCCCCGGGGCCGACAGTACCTTCTCCCCGGGGCCGACAGTACCTTCTCCCCGGGGCCGACAGTACCTTCTCCCCGGGGCCGACAGTACCTTCTCCCCGGGGCCGACAGTACCTTCTCCCCGGGGCCGACAGTACCTTCTCCCCGGGGCCGACAGTACCTTCTCCCCGGGGCCGACAGTACCTTCTCCCCGGGGCCGACAGTACCTTCTCCCCGGGGCCGACAGTACCTTCTCCCCGGGGCCGACAGTACCTTCTCCCCGGGGCCGACAGTACCTTCTCCCCGGGGCCGACAGTACCTTCTCCCCGGGGCCGACAGTACCTTCTCCCCGGGGCCGACAGTACCTTCTCCCCGGGGCCGACAGTACCTTCTCCCCGGGGCCGACAGTACCTTCTCCCCGGGGCCGACAGTACCTTCTCCCCGGGGCCGACAGTACCTTCTCCCCGGGGCCGACAGTACCTTCTCCCCGGGGCCGACAGTACCTTCTCCCCGGGGCCGACAGTACCTTCTCCCCGGGGCCGACAGTACCTTCTCCCCGGGGCCGACAGTACCTTCTCCCCGGGGCCGACAGTACCTTCTCCCCGGGGCCGACAGTACCTTCTCCCCGGGGCCGACAGTACCTTCTCCCCGGGGCCGACAGTACCTTCTCCCCGGGGCCGACAGTACCTTCTCCCCGGGGCCGACAGTACCTTCTCCCCGGGGCCGACAGTACCTTCTCCCCGGGGCCGACAGTACCTTCTCCCCGGGGCCGACAGTACCTTCTCCCCGGGGCCGACAGTACCTTCTCCCCGGGGCCGACAGTACCTTCTCCCCGGGGCCGACAGTACCTTCTCCCCGGGGCCGACAGTACCTTCTCCCCGGGGCCGACAGTACCTTCTCCCCGGGGCCGACAGTACCTTCTCCCCGGGGCCGACAGTACCTTCTCCCCGGGGCCGACAGTACCTTCTCCCCGGGGCCGACAGTACCTTCTCCCCGGGGCCGACAGTACCTTCTCCCCGGGGCCGACAGTACCTTCTCCCCGGGGCCGACAGTACCTTCTCCCCGGGGCCGACAGTACCTTCTCCCCGGGGCATACAATGATCTAAGGTTGTTAATCCACCCTGCAAATACCCCCTGTTTTTTTTTAATGAAAAGCAGTTTACACACGACTGATGACGCCCGAACACTTCCGGAACAAGTGCTTTGCTCACGTCCTCTGTTGGAACCACAATTCTATAAACCCAGCCCGTCCTCCAAAGACCCAAAAGGGATTCCATCCACCCGCCAAACTCCCCGTTTTGAATGAACAGCATGCAAAAATTTATGAATGCTTCTGTGGGGTCGACCGCTGGATGTAATGGACTTGAGTCGAGGACGGGTTGGTAAATGCTTCACTCACCTACTTCAATACAAATAATCGCCAACAGAACTTAAAACACCTAACCTAACCTACGCCTAACTATACATAGAATTTGTATGTATAATAATCATAATTTATATTTGAGAACATTTTTAATACACAATGATAAAATTGCTGCATGCGTGTGGGGAGGACGGCCGCTGCTTTAACCAGCCTAGCGTGATGACGGGTTGAAGAGTGAAGGGTACTCACGTGTGCTATACCGTTGACGCCGTAGCCGGAATTGACGAAACCCTGAAATGTAGAAACATGGGAGTGAATAGTGGTAAGTACCTGTGCGTCCTCGTCAACTAATGATACTCCGCCCAAGTGAAACACAAACAAACACTTAGTGGGCCAGCCAGAGGCTTAGGGCCCGCACAGTGGGCCAGCCAGAGGCTTAGGGCCCGCACAGTGGGCCAGCCAGAGGCTAGGGCCCGCACAGTGGGCCAGCCAGAGGCTTAGGGCCCCGCACAGTGGGCCAGCCAGAGGCTTAGGGCCCCGCACAGTGGGCCAGCCAGAGGCTTAGGGCCCCGCACAGTGGGCCAGCCAGAGGCTTAGGGCCCCGCACAGTGGGCCAGCCAGAGGCTTAGGGCCCCGCACAGTGGGCCAGCCAGAGGCTTAGGGCCCCGCACAGTGGGCCAGCCAGAGGCTTAGGGCCCCGCACAGTGGGCCAGCCAGAGGCTTAGGGCCCCGCACAGTGGGCCAGCCAGAGGCTTAGGGCCCCGCACAGTGGGCCAGCCAGAGGCTTAGGGCCCCGCACAGTGGGCCAGCCAGAGGCTTAGGGCCCCGCACAGTGGGCCAGCCAGAGGCTTAGGGCCCCGCACAGTGGGCCAGCCAGAGGCTTAGGGCCCCGCACAGTGGGCCAGCCAGAGGCTTAGGGCCCCGCACAGTGGGCCAGCCAGAGGCTTAGGGCCCGCACAGTGGGCCAGCCAGAGGCTTAGGGCCCGCACAGTGGGCCAGCCAGAGGCTTAGGGCCCGCACAGTGGGCCAGCCAGAGGCTTAGGGCCCGCACAGTGGGCCAGCCAGAGGCTTAGGGCCCGCACAGTGGGCCAGCCAGAGGCTTAGGGCCCGCACAGTGGGCCAGCCAGAGGCTTAGGGCCCGCACAGTGGGCCAGCCAGAGGCTTAGGGCCCCGCACAGTGGGCCAGCCAGAGGCTTAGGGCCCCGCACAGTGGGCCAGCCAGAGGCTTAGGGCCCCGCACAGTGGGCCAGCCAGAGGCTTAGGGCCCCGCACAGTGGGCCAGCCAGAGGCTTAGGGCCCCGCACAGTGGGCCAGCCAGAGGCTTAGGGCCCCGCACAGTGGGCCAGCCAGAGGCTTAGGGCCCCGCACAGTGGGCCAGCCAGAGGCTTAGGGCCCCGCACAGTGGGCCAGCCAGAGGCTTAGGGCCCCGCACAGTGGGCCAGCCAGAGGCTTAGGGCCCCGCACAGTGGGCCAGCCAGAGGCTTAGGGCCCCGCACAGTGGGCCAGCCAGAGGCTTAGGGCCCGCACAGTGGGCCAGCCAGAGGCTTAGGGCCCGCACAGTGGGCCAGCCAGAGGCTTAGGGCCCGCACAGTGGGCCAGCCAGAGGCTTAGGGCCCGCACAGTGGGCCAGCCAGAGGCTTAGGGCCCCGCACAGTGGGCCAGCCAGAGGCTTAGGGCCCGCACAGTGGGCCAGCCAGAGGCTTAGGGCCCGCACAGTGGGCCAGCCAGAGGCTTAGGGCCCGCACAGTGGGCCAGCCAGAGGCTTAGGGCCCCGCACAGTGGGCCAGCCAGAGGCTTAGGGCCCGCACAGGAATATCCCTGCAAAAAAAAAAAAAAAAAAAAAAAGCAGCGGGGCAAGCGGTAGGGGCTACGGTGAGCCCGTGGTGGACTTCCCTGGCACAGGAGCGGGACTGTGACACCCTCTAAAGCCTCTATTTATGACTGAACGACACTTTACACACGACTCAACTGATGAGGTTCGTGTGCGTCTGGACCCGTGCGTCGTCCCTGACCTCGGCTCCACCCTCACCTCTACACATGCTTCATACAGCAAATACCAATAATCACCAACACATCCTAACCGCTTTAGTTAGGCCTATGCAACACATTCCTCTATGAAATAATATAACTTTATATTATTTAAAAAAATACACATTTGTAAACGTAGTAAGATTAGAATGGTCCCTGGACGAGCCTAGCCTGAGGACAGGTCGCACAAATATAAACACTATACATGGCCTAAAACAATGACATTGTTGTAGAAGCCCTCCACACCTGTTGTAGCACCCCTCCACCCCTGTTGTAGCACCCCTCCACCCCTGTTGTAGCAGCCCTCCACCCCTGTTGTAGCAGCCCTCCACCCCTGTTGTAGCAGCCCTCCACCCCTGTTGTAGCAGCCCTCCACCCCTGTTGTAGCAGCCCTCCACCCCTGTTGTAGCAGCCCTCCACCCCTGTTGTAGCAGCCCTCCACCCCTGTTGTAGCAGCCCTCCACCCCTGTTGTAGCAGCCCTCCACCCCTGTTGTAGCAGCCCTCCACACCTGTTGTAGCAGCCCTCCACCCCTGTTGTAGCAGCCCTCCACCCCTGTTGTAGCAGCCCTCCACCCCTGTTGTAGGGTATGTGGCAGGTAGGGGGGGCAGGGGGAACATACAACACTTAACACTGCAGGTAACACAGGTAACACACCACTTAACACTGCAGGTAACACAGGTAACACACCACTTAACACTGCAGGTAACACAGGTAACACAACACTCAACACTGCAGGTAACACAGGTAACACAACACTTAACACTGCAGGTAACACAGGTAACACACCACTTAACACTGCAGGTAACACAGGTAACACAACACTTAACACTGCAGGTAACACAGGTAACACAACACTTAACACTGCAGGTAACACAGGTAACACACCACTTAACACTGCAGGTAACACAGGTAACACACCACTTAACACTGCAGGTAACACAGGTAACACAACACTTAACACTGCAGGTAACACAGGTAACACAACACTTAACACTGCAGGTAACACAGGTAACACAACATACAACACTGCAGGTAACACAGGTAACACACCACTTAACACTGCAGGTAACACAGGTAACACACCACTTAACACTGCAGGTAACACAGGTAACACAACACTCAACACTGCAGGTAACACAGGTAACACACCACTTAACACTGCAGGTAACACAGGTAACACAGCAGGTAACACAGGTAACACAACACTCAACACTGCAGGTAACACAGGTAACACACCACTTAACACTGCAGGTAACACAGGTAACACAACACTTAACACTGCAGGTAACACAGGTAACACAGGTAACACAACACTTAACACTGCAGGTAACACAGGTAACACAACACTTAACACTGCAGGTAACACAGGTAACACAACACTTAACACTGCAGGTAACACAGGTAACACAACACTTACCTGCAGTGTTGAGTGGTGTGTTACCTGTGTTACCTGCAGTGTTAAGTGGTGTGTTACCTGTGTTACCTGCAGTGTTAAGTGGTGTGTTACCTGTGTTACCTGCAGTGTTAAGTGGTGTGTTACCTGTGTTACCTGCAGTGTTAAGTGGTGTGTTACCTGTGTTACCTGCAGTGTTAAGTGGTGTGTTACCTGTGTTACCTGCAGTGTTAAGTGGTGTGTTACCTGTGTTACCTGCAGTGTTAAGTGGTGTGTTACCTGTGTTACCTGCAGTGTTAAGTGGTGTGTTACCTGTGTTACCTGCAGTGTTAAGTGGTGTGTTACCTGTGTTACCTGCAGTGTTAAGTGGTGTGTTACCTGTGTTACCTGCAGTGTTAAGTGGTGTGTTACCTGTGTTACCTGCAGTGTTAACACAGGTAACACAACACTCAACACTGCAGGTAACACAGGTAACACACCACTTAACACTGCAGGTAACACAACACACAAGTCACACACTGTGGGCCAGAGTGCTCCGTGCTGCTAGGTATACCCTCACCACCACCTTACCATTCTCACACCTCCATACAACATGTGCTACACTACTTGTGGGGGGGGGGGGGCAAGGAGAGAATTGAGGAATGGGGCAGAGGGAGAGTGGGAGGGGTGAGGGGGGTGAGGGGGGGTGAGGGGGACAAAATGAATGGATTAAATGGGACGAAGATGATTGTGGAGGGGGAGAAATAAAGATAGGATGAGGGAGAGGAGAGAGTTTAGGGGAGGAAGAGAGAGGACGGGGGAGGAAGAGAGAGGACGGGGGAGGAAGAGAGAGGACGGGGGAGGAAGAGAGAGGACGGGGGAGGAAGAGAGAGGACGGGGGAGGAAGAGAGAGGACGGGGGAGGAAGAGAGAGGACGGGGGAGGAAGAGAGAGGACGGGGGAGGAAGAGAGGAAGCGGGAGGGCGGGGGGGAGGGGGGGGCAGTGCGTTGCGCTTGAGTTTTTTGTCGATATTTCTTTTTCCGTGACGACCTTGCCCTTTAATATTACAGCTGCCAGGCTCCTAACTCCCAGGCGGCGCCCGGGAGCTGGAGCCCACTGTTCTGGAGCACCCATGTGCCTTACAGCGGTGCTGGCCTCCCCCTTCCCCGACCCCAGCGGTGCTGGCCTCCCCCCCTCCCCCCCCCCCCCCTCCCCAGCGGTGCTGGCCTCCCCCCCCCTCCCCAGCGGTGCTGGCCTCCCCCCCCCCTCCCCAGCGGTGCTGGCCTCCTCCCCCCTCCCCAGCGGTGCTGCCCCCCCTCCCCAGCGGTGCTGGCCTCCCCCCCCCTCCCCAGCGGTGCCCCCCCGCTCCAACAGAGCCTGGCACCTGGTAAAGGTGACGTCAACAGTTGCCATATTGGCTCACAACAACACCCACTATTTTTACACTGCTGGCAACACTCTCCATCTGCCACAGTAATCACTAGTCTCACTTAACTAACAAACTATTCTCATACTACGGAATATAATTAACTATGGCTCGAACCCAGGTCTAAGAATATACTCAAATTATAGTGATGTAGTGATGCAGTAGTGTTAAGTGTTTAGATGGGGGATGGGGGGGGGGGTTAAAGAGGATGACGAGGGATAGGTGAAGGGAAGATGAGAAATGCGAAATACAGTGAACGTTATGACACCGGGCGGGCCGTCCGCCTTGCTGACACCGGGCGGGCCGTCCACCTTGCTGACACGATGTGTGAGTGTTGGCAGCTAACCTGGTTGATGGGGTTCTGGGAGTTCTACTCACCAAGCCCGGCCCGAGGCCAGGCTTGACTTGTGAGAGTTTGGTCTACCAGGTTGTTGCTTGGAGCGGCCCGCAGGCCCACCACAGC